AACTTCCCTTCCCGCGCGGCCCGCAGAGCGGCGGCGACGGCGACAGCGGCGGCGGCGGTTCCAACGTGCTCAGCCTCGTGTCCGGGCTGCTGGGCTCTAGCAGCGGGGTGAGTGCCCCTCCAGCCTCGCAGTCGAACCACTGGGGCGTGTGTCGGACGAGGAGGGGAGCGCGCGCGGGTGGCTTTGGTTGAGCTAGGTTGGGCGTGGTGAAGTCCTTTCGTTCCTCTTCCAGTGAATTAAATAAACATCGAAAACCAGAAAGGCACCTTTCCTTAAAAGTAATGTAAGAGCTAAACGGGAAATCTAGCAGATGGAAAACAAATGGGTTCCAACAAATGAGTTTCTGGAAATGAGAATAAATGCACCACTCTTTATGTGGCTAGTATACAATAACAACGTGTTACAACTGAGAGTTATTTTATAAAAATTGGACATATGAGTTTTCTAATGTCACATTATGAGAATTTTCAAACAAGCAAGTCTTCTACATTTTCTTGTAGATTCCAAAGGTTGTTGGTGCATTTAAATGTTCCTTAAATACAATTTTTCAGAATATTTCACCCTGATTTCTCATATAGCATACAAATCGAGACGTCATATAATATGGAAAGAATATTCACATAGTTCTTAGATAAATGAGAAGCACGTTAGATTTACACATCCTCAAATATGAGTGTTCCATCCACTTTAGTTGCTGGGTTCGAAAGAAAGAAACTAATAATGCAAATAAACATTATCCATTTTTTGGATTTGAGCACGTTTTCCGGGATCGTTCGCCTAATTATTCAGCATCTGTAACTACTGTTTCAGCATCTACTTCCATTTTTTCAAAAGACTAGGACACAGGACTCATCTCAATATAACTATTTGCTCAACCAAAGACAGCCGACTCGAGCTCAGAACTCCTCTGGAGAGGTTAAGGTCGCATGTCTGTCTGTCTTTCTTTCTTTCTGCCTCCTGAGGCGCCGCCGATCGAGACGCGGCGGTGGACGGGAAATCTTGACCGATGGCCTGCGCCCTTCGACCTGCAGGCGATCGCTCCTTGGGGACCTTGAGGCCCCCTTTCCCTTTTCTTGACGTTTACGGCCTCTATGCCGCTACTTCTGTCATAAGTTGCTGGGTTTCTTCGCTGTATTGCATTGTCGTCTTTGCTGCTCAGAATGCCGTAGCTCACTAACTTTCTAATCCGACGTGTTCGACAAGAACCCAATGAGCTAGTTGTTCTGCTTCTTGCTCCCAGGTCTGGTTTCTACAACTTGACTTCTTTCATCTCCGCGTCAGCGGCGTTTACTGAACAATGTGCAACTCTAGCATGACAAGCGTCTATTTTAAGAGCGTCGCCTACTAGGACAAGGCGTCGTCGAACGATAGGCGTTTCTTGATCTTTTCCTACTACGTTTAACACCAAGTCGCTCGCTGAACAGGACAATGCGAGCGCGTCCTTTTAACCTTTTCTGCGTAACAGAATTAAGATTAACGTAACTTTCTAACATAACCAATGTCGATCTCGGTATAGAGATACCGACCAGGAAATGGGCCGAGTTCATTGTCATGTAAGCGACAAACGGCCTGGTGGGCGGAGGCCGCGTCATGTCGGACGTACAAACTGCTTCAATCGCGACGTCCAACTTTCGAGGCGGCGCCGGGTCTGCCGCCCCAACGCGGAAGAGTTGTTGGGGGGGGGGGGGTTATTACACCTTCGGTTTAGTTGACAGTCACGTGTCGATGAGAAAGTGGCACTTTCAAATTGTAGTTAAATAAACGGGTGCAAATACTTATTGAATGACAAGTCTTTGTAAATAATTCTCTTGTTTGACATTAATAACAGAATGAGAGAAGTAAACGATGAGCGTGGGGTGATCCGAATTGAATTATTCTATAGAACATAAAATGTAGTATTTTTCAGATAGTTTGCTTAAAACTCACTAAATATGAAGCTGTACGGCGTTATAAACACATTATTAAAATTAAAAGAACATAAATTGACAGAAACAAAAATCATTCAACATAATAATGTTTTTGAACTATCATTTACTTTGAACATTTGTGACCAATAATAACTCGGGCGCTGAGCATGGTGAACCAGTTTCTAGAAAAATTATATTTACTTGTAAATAATGTAAAAAATACAAGAAAAAATATTTTTCTCGTTTTCAGGTTTCATATTTCACGTATCTCAATAATTCTGCTTAGAAAGAGAGAGTAATAAACAATATTCGTAGATTTATTGCAGACAGTTTATCATACGAATACTTGAAATTAGTGTCGTCAACGAAGTGACACCTGCATTTTATGACACCTGCGAAATACTTTGTGATTATTTCAGTGATTTTCAGATCACTGCCAGTTAATAGCACTATGCTATATTCATATTCTAAATGTATTTATGGTTTAATTTACTTATTACATGGTTTAATTTAATTATTACAACATAAAATTACATCAAATAAAGTATGTTCGCGTTGATCTTAAAGTAAACTTTTATTTGAAACTTTGCACCGAATGTATAATTTTAGAAGGGTTTCATACGTTTGTGGGTTATTCAAATAACACTGGTGTAAAAGTTGAAAATCCCGGATAGCTACCTGGATTACAGACTGCGGCATAAAGTTGCTCAGAGACCGTTTCGTATGCACGTAACAGCAAACCACCTTCCATTACTGAACTCGACAAGCCAGCAAAACGGCACCTGCTACCTGGATTACGTGTGTGATGACGCACAAAACTCGAAAGGACACTTGCTCTGGTTCCTTTAGCGGGCCTACTCGTCAAGTCGACAACTTTCGCTTGTCTTGCGCCTTCCCAGCAGCGGTAGTAAGCAGTCACGAACGGCGAGAATTTCGGCCCATTGGAAACCGCCACCTTTTTTCGCAAAATAAAACTCGGTGAATGTTTACTCCGTGTTTGTGTAGGGTGGCGGCGATGGCGGCAGCGGTGGGGGAGGAGGCTCCAACGTTCTCAGTCTGGTGAGCGGCCTTCTTGGTGCCAGCAGTGGGGTACGTTTTAATTACATTCACACTCCTAATAAAGGTCTTCAAAGACAAATCTACGGCCCAGTTCCGGAAAGCCACAACTAAATTTTAGGTTCTATTCTAGAGATACTGCCTTTTTAAATTTTAATATCACTCTCATCTTACAACTCTTGAACCTTAAATTTATTATTAATTTGTTAACGCCAAATTACAAATTCAAGTAGTGGATCATAATATCGTCAAAGCGATATGTAACTTTAAAACGGCAATATCTGAAAACTCATAATTTAGAATTGTTGCCTTTTGGTATGAGGCCGCCGAACTATAGGCAATGATCCAATAAAAACAGTTTAGGTAAAGACAGTAATAATGCACCATATTTGAAGAAATGTTTCATGAGTTAGCATTCTTGTAAAATGAAAGTCATACATTTGAAAAACTCAACCGCAAGATAAATAACAGTTAAATTTTATAAATTTGTAAATAATTGATATCCAGTTATTAAAATCTATTTAATATAATACCACTAGATTTTATTTTGAGCAGCCGGTGGCGTAATTGAAATTTAGCCCTTAGACAATCAGGATCATTCAGTTACAACGCATCAGTCTTGTTCGTGAAAGGAAGTTGCGAAGAAAAACATGAATTAATTTTTCAACATTAAAATACACTGACTCTCGGCGTAAAATAAAAGTTCAAAAATAGCTGACTTATCATTTCAGGGCGGTGGCGCTGATGGGAGCGCCGGAGGCAGCGGTGGCGGCGGCGGTGGCATTGTAGCCAACCTTTTCCTCAATAAGGTGGCACCCGTGTCAACTGCTAAACCGGTTCCTGGATCGGTAAGATATACTTTTATGAAGAATGTGAAAATCTCACGTATTTAGAAAGTGAAATTGCAATAAAAAAATTAAAAACTCATAAAAGTAATCATGATGACAAGTTTAAAGTAAAAAATATTTTGAAATATGTAATGGAAATATCTCAAAATTTTATGAATGGGTGCTGAATCGACTCAGTATCAAGCAGTTTTGAGTAGACCTTCAAGTAGAAATTTCGATGCAATTATTGAAATTTAATAACCCAAGGAAAATTTTTTATTTATATGCATTAAACGAAAGAACGGTCTAAAAAAATTGCAAAAACTATGTCCTAAATGCGGCCTGAGGTGATTAATAAAATATATCTTTAGTAAGTAAGAATAGGAAAATATTTCAATACACTTCAATAAATGAAGTAAAAATTTCGGTTTGAACATTCAGATATGTTATAAAACTAATATTTTAGGTACAACACTAAATGAAAAAAAAGGTGATTGCGAAATAATTGGATGCATGACGGCTTCTTACTCCCGACTTTTGCTACCCGCTGCTAGGCTAATGATGACGGCAAATCCGTCGAAAGTCGGCTATCAAAATAAAGTTACGAATACAAAAAGGACATTGTTTCTTCAATGAATTAGGTCAACAACACTACATTAGAATTCTCACAGAACACCAAAGAACTGCAGAAGAGCATTAAATATTTTGTAATTAATTTACATGTTACGTTTATATGATACTACTCATTACGAACATCCTATAATTTAACGCAGTCAGTAACAAGGTAATTAAAAAACTGAATTTATTTTTTATGTAGTTTTACCTTTTAATAGTATGTGTTACTCAAAATGTTTGTCGGTTGAAATGTTGATCATGAAAATATGTTGTGAAAATTTACAGCATAATTAATACAACCGAAGAAATACAACCGTTCTTTTTATTTGAATTCATTGATGTTGTTAATTGAAAAATGGTTTAATGAAATACTCTATTGGAAATAATAGAAGTCCTGCAGTGTTACGATGTCATCATTTCAAAAAAAAATACGTCCGTTTAAATGCATTTACAGAGATTACTCAGTGAAAAATAATTTAATAGTTATCCATGAAGAAATTACAAACTGTAATCAGTTGAGCATTCTTTGAGAAATCGCTCTTATGGTCGCTTCTGAAGCCATTCCGTCCGCCTCTATTATGACCTCTTACGTCCAAGTCGTAAATATCTGTAGTACATTTGATGGCTAGGCGATTATGAAAATGTGATCTGAATGAGGACGGAGCAACCTTCAAAAAACCTGAAACGAGCGATCCCCAACAACCATGCCGCTCCGCATTATACACCACACTCTTCACATGAACTCACGAGGATTCGAACTGGGCGCCAGCGGTGGAAGAAAAGCGGCCTGACCACTTCGCCAGGGTCGCCTCTGTTTTGGCCCACTGTGCGACGGCGGCGGCGGCGCATGCTGCGAGGGCGGACCGCAGGCGGTCCGAGAGCGTTCACCCGCCAGTGAAAGGCGCTGCGACGGCGGTGGGGACGGTGACGCCGGCGGCTGGGTCGAAGAAATTAGCTCGCGGTGACTCCGCGGGCGATAGCGCACGAGGCGGCAGTATTTATTATAGCGGCGGCAGTGGCGATAGATAAGCAGTGGTGGTGGCAACCGCGGTAGAAACAGTGGCAATCGCGGTGCAGGTTGAGGCAACAGCAGAGGATGTCAGGCTAACGACGATGGAGGTTGGAGTAAAGATGCGGATGTGCTGGCGATTTCGATTGTGAAGGTGTGGTGGAAACGGTAGCGATGGCGATGGCTTGGTGGTGGCTGCGATGGCATTTGCCTGGCGAAAGGCACTGGATGGTCGCCGCCGAGTGGTTTTCACTTCTAATTCACCGTGTCGAGCGAACAAAGCGGAGAAGGCGTTGTCGGTTTAAGTGGTATGTGAGTGTTCGACGGCTGAAAAACGTTGGCAAATGTTTGTCACGCGATATGAGGCTAACCCAGGTGGATAAAAGGAAGGTATTTAGAAGTAATAAAGTAGTTCCTTTGCTATTCAAATTTACGATCACAAATGAAGGGCTACAATATTATCCATTAAGAGCACGTTTGAAATTACGAATACGCAGTAATTTGTTGACATTTCGACCTCTTACATCTATGCATAAACTGGCATATATATTTCAATTGAAATACAAATATTTCGCTTTCTGGAACGACAGTCATAAAATGAAATACAAAATTTATTTTAGATATAAAACAGTAGATGTTTGAATCAATAGTTTTTTCTATTTCCTTTTCTTTATGTATGCAATATCAATGAAAGACGATATGATGGTTTCCAACTATTCAATGCTTTTCATAAACAAAATAGAATAAAATACTAAACAAAACAACAAATTCTTTAAGCCGTAATTTACATCCTCAATTTATTCCCGAAGGACATTCAGTATTTAGAATACTGGCAAGTCTGTGATTTTACGTAAGAAATAATAATTTAACTTTTCGAATTTCGTTCTAGGATAAAGAGAAATTCGAGACTTTTGACTCTTATTTTGAATTTTACTTTTTTTGTCTTAAAAATAACCTGTGCTGCTAAAGTGACCAAAGAGGAGGAGTGAACATGACTAATAAGGAGGACAAAAAAATAAGAGGATAGCTTGGGGAGGGAAAAAATAAAGGACCACCTACCCTGAGTTTGCGAAGAGCAGAAAAATGCCTTATTCGGAACACATTATACGGCATATTATGTCTATCTAAGATTCTTACTCTAGGAATATATCCTACCCAAGAAATGGTCACAGCGATTAACATAAAGGAAACTTCACGTAACAAGCCCATCTCAAGATGATGAAAGTACCGTGTGTTTATATCTCCAGCAAGAAAACAGCTGATGACCCGCGGTCATGGATACCAGTTGGTGAGAACGAGGAAACAAAGCACGTGAAGGCACAGTGACTACCGCAGGGACCAGCCTTGCAAATACGCTCGACGGGTTGCCTACTTTCACGGCGTTCGCTGCTGGCGTTTTCTCGCTGAGGAAGTAGTTTGAGCAGATGACGCTAGATACCGCCAGTCGATAATTGCTATTTTGTTGGTCGTATAAGAAATGCATCGGGAAACAGTCTAGAGAAATTTAATGAATATGAGGATTTCGTGATCTACCTAATAATTGAAAGCAAATTGAAATAGAACAAGCAAGAGCCTAAGCAATGAAATGGAAAAAGCATAATTGAAAGCATCGAGAATTGGAAATGAAAACTATAGGAGTTTTTTATTTTACTTGACATGTCCGCGCTATTCCATCAAAAATACTGTAAAAATATACTGCAGAATTTCTACATCAACTTTATGTTTGTTATGTCACTTGTTTCAGTACGATGACCTGATTGGCAAAGGAATTACCGGTTATGATCCAGTAGCTGTATTCAGCAGCAATCTTGGCGGCGCTATTAGGGTAAGCATACCGGTAATACTACCGTTTGCAGTGAGATACGGTTTTCGGAATAAAAAGCGAGTTCTACGTGTTTAGAATTGCTTGGCTAGCCCGCGCTACTTTCGACATCTTGCGTTTTTATTAGTTTTAAAATGATTTAGCATGCACCAAAAGATTCTCTTAAAAAGTACTAATTTGAAATGAATAACGAAAATAAAATCGAAATATAATTTCTGAACACTAGTTAATATTATTACAACATTTGGATTATACTAGTATTTTCATAATCGAACGTTTAAACCTGAAATAAAAAGTTACAGTTAAATTATTACACGTTCTCACTTAAGCAGTGCCACCAACTAGGTTCATCTTCGCGTTTCCATTTTGTCAAATCGGAAGCATCGAAAAGAAGATTGTGATGTATTGGCAAAGATATAAGCAGAAATGGTTGCGAATTCAATGGTATCTCGTAGTTCATCCAAACTTCACAATTATTTCTTACATTTTATATTTTTGAAAGGCTCCAATCTCATCCATTCAGTTTCGAATAAATTATGTGTAAATTATTATCCCATTTTTTTGTTTTAACTGGCAACGATGGTGATCAATAGTTTGTTTTTACTTCTTCTTCTTCTTCTTCTTCTTCTTCTTCTTCTTCTTCTTCTATTATTATTATTATTATTATTGTTATTATTAATGAAATATACAGACATACATAATAAGAGCCTATTTATCATATCTCTACGTGTTAGCAACTACTTCACTCTCAAAACTATTTTACTATTTTTGTTGTTGTTTGTCAACAGCCTCCTTCACAGTCGTGCAAATATTCACATTGATGTTAAGAGCAACAATATAATTATAATAATAGTAATAATAATAGTAATAATAATAGTAATAATAATAGTAATAATAATAGTAATAATAATAGTAATAGTAATAGTAATAATGGTAATATTAGTAATAATAGTAATGTGATGACTACACGGTTTGTGTGTTCCGTTCCCGCAGTCCAAGTTCACGGTGTTCAACTCGCTCTTCTCCGTGCTGACGGGGTTGTTCGGCGCATCGAGCGGCGGTGGCGGCGCCAGCGGTGGCGGCGGCATCGCGGCGGCCGCTTCGCTCTCCAAGTCGTGACCGCTCCCCTCGCCCCCGGACGCCCCCTCGCACGCAGTCACGCAGTCACGCCCCGCGGCGACAGCCGCTTCGACGCCTCGACGCGTGGAAGCCCAGACCTCTAGATAGCTACATTCCACCCCCAGGAACGCCTAGCGAAACCTAATGCCAAGGAGCCGAAACGTTCGGACGCCTAAACGTCTAGGCGACTAAACGTTTGGACGTTTGAAATATTAAAGCGTCTAAAAACCTGCATGCCTAGGCGTCCAGATGGCAGGGCGCCTTGACGCCTAAACAGTTTGATATCTTAACGTTTTAAAGGCTAATGGATTTCATGGTCTCGTAGACGCCTAGGCTGCTAGACGCCTAAATCCTAGACGTCTGGGAAATTTCTAGAAACTTCACAACCCCTCGAGGCATCGAACTGGCTCTCTCGTCGTATGGACGTGTGTCGCGTCGCTAATCGACGCGTTTGCACGAGCCTCTCGGAACGAACCGTAGAAGGTCACGTTTCCTGACCTACGTTTTTTGTAAGTCTGCGAAATATTATTTTCTACGCGATGAGGTGTTACATTGGCTTGCTCAAACGTTTGTAAATTATATATTTTTTATATTTATCTATGAAATGTCATTTTATTTCTGAGTTTTGGAATTGTTGAAATAATATTCAAAAACAAATTTTGCAGATGTTGAAAAAAAAATTGATTCAGTCGCTTCATCTGTTCCTATGTAACGTCATCATTATACATTGTTCTCATGGTACGGGAGGGTTATAATTTGAGGCTCACTTGGGAATATTCTCAAAATATTGTTAAGTTTTTATATCCCTTTTGTAAAAATACTCATTTCTTGTATTTGAGAATCAACAAAAAATATTTAAGATGTATTTTTGTAAAAAAAACAACCATGGATATCATCAGTCGCTGTACATACCAACATATGAATAGAAGATACAATGAATACCCACAGTAAAACATCACATGTTACTGAAGTCGACCACTTTATGTCTTGTAAATAAACTATCTTGTATCTTGTTTCATCTGTTCAAGGAAGAGCTCTGTACGCCATGTGTAAAGTGAGACAATTTCTGACCTGTACCATACATTATTCTTATATTGTTTTTGACTGTTTGATAATAAATAAACCTACAAAATATATCTATTCTTTATATGATTATGATGAAACCTAATTTCAACCATTCTGTTATACTGTTTTTTTGTGTATTTTTTTCGATTTTGGTCGTATAATATTTATTGAATAAAGCTGGCAGAGCAAAGTTTGTTAAGGATAACATTTAAGTGTTTCAATGAAATTCGCTTTTCTATGCAATGAGAGGGTGTGCAGGGCATATTCTTGACTAAAGTATGCAGTCGAAAAGTAGAACTTAACTAGTGATACTATACACAACATCACTGTTCGGTGCTATATGACACATTTAATACTTATTTCCTAGTGAAATCCTTCTTTTAAAAAGGTAAATGATAGATTATTTAAGATAATTAAATTCATTAACGTCAACTATGTTTGGTTCATTTGTTATTTCACAATAAAATTCAGGTATTAAAAAAAATCATTCATGGTAAGTATTGTATCAAAAGATTAATTGCATGAATGTAAGAATTCTCTATTCAACACGTTAGATTTTTTGTAGCGTTTGCAGAATACGACAAATATTTAAAAATGCTACATTTTGCTACGCTAAACTTTCCCAGGCAATATTGACACTTGGAGTTAAATGATGAAAACGTATTGCAGTGGAAGATTCCGGTGTATTAATCATTAATCAGAGTGAACCAAAATCTATCAATCTTGGTCACTCCTGCTCCGATCAACAAGCTTACTAATCAATCTGAAAATTGCTTGTGAAGTTAAATTTTGCTCCAAATACGTCATAAATTTGCCGAATTTGCGGTTGTTTCTGCTTTGCTGATCAACGGCATCTTTGGAGATGACACAAGAAAGACCGAGTAATTGGTCCTTTTCTCTACACTAAGATATTGAAGTAAGGTTCCCAAGTGTCGAAGTATGGTTGTAAAGGTACGAGAGAAATTAGTAAGACTGCACGATTTCATTAAATCCTGTTACATCTGATTGAAATTCCATTTCCGTGTCGCATGGAATGCGGATGTACCATGCCCGAAGGTTCTTATAATTTTGTAAACGCGAATACACACTTTTCAACATTATATTGCATGTTGAGGTAAATCGTAGTAAGGTATCGAAGTAAGGTTTTCAAGTACAGGAGTGAGATTGCAAAGAATTAAGCTGAATTATTAAGGTGGCACCATTTCATTAAATCCATTGTGATTTATTATATCTACTGTGACAGAGTAAATTTTCACGAACAAAACCAATCTTGTCAAGAAAGAGAAATGTATTTCCTTAATACATTTCTGGGAAGGCCGTGCGCGAGGGTAAGTTTATTTTCTACGGAGACCCGGCAATGCTTCGCTACTGCAGTGTATTGCACATCCCACACTACTGGTCCCGTGATTGTCAATCACATCTTACGCTAAGCTGTGTAAAAATTCTAACAGACGAAAGACTTTCTCGCAAGTATGGCTTTGGTCTATGTCCTGGTTTGGATACGGTTATCAAGTTATGTTAGTCAAGTATTGTCAAAACATTTTACCTCAAATGTGGGCATGCGTTCGCTAAGACACTATGTTGTAGAACTTTTATTTACTTGTCCGATAATCAAGTAATAATACCGGCCGATATTTCACTATTGCAGGGGCAGAATATTTGTATGCAGTAAAGACGCGCTTAATCCTTGACCGTGCGGCAGGTTGTATAGAGTTCAGCGGCGCTTGAGTCGTCGTTAATGAATAAACCATCAACACTTCTACATGTCCGATTTAATTCAAACAACTATTTAAACACTCCCACTGGTAATAAGCACAAAGTGTGAAAGTTTTAGTAAAATCAGTCGAATACCTTTTTGTGTCTATGCGCGACACACATACGCACATCCCCTTTATTTATATATAGATATATAGATTGCATCAGGCATGCAGGAGCCTTCTCGCATGAGGCACTTACGCAATCGCATGAGGCACTTACGCAGTCATGGCTTCTTTCGTCTATGGAATGATACCATAATGAAGCATTGGAAATATATCGCAACCGCAGAGGAAGATTCATACAACTAAAAATAATCTACTCAGTGCAAGTAAGTGTCTTCAATTAAAAATGTGTTCTCAAATACAACTGCTGCAGTTAAAACCGTGAAAATAGCTATTCTACTGCACATAATTGGATTTTATTCCCAGATCATTAATTCAAATAATACAAACCTATACAAAATCCACCAGAAATATTTTTATTATATTACTAAGAACAGTTGTCGGTTCGTCAATCATTTTTTTTCAATTTCTTCATGTTGAATTTACTATTTTTCCAATTTCTTCCTAAAAGGTTCAAATTGTTCTAGAAAGAAATCTCATTAAGGCTTGTGTTGGTCTTTTAAAGATGAGTTATAAGAAACTAGTGGAATTACTGATTGGTACGAATTTTCTCATAGTAGTTCGTTTCTTCATCTCTGTACATTTCGGTTTTGTCCCACACTATTACCAGATACTACTTATCTGCAAAAATGTCAAAACAAATTTGACATTTTCTCAATTTTTCGTTCCCCAAATTATAGATTTGAAATACGACTACATTAATATTACAGTAGAGAAAACGTGATCATATATGACAATTTTCAGGCGTGTGAAAACATGAAGGAGTTTTTAAAAGAGTGTCGTTTGAGCTATACCAAAAAAGCTCAATGTTTCGCCCTTTTTCATAGAAAACTTTTGAGATTTCTAGAAACTTGACGAGAAATAATCTGAAGAACTGAAACTCACCAATACAACAATAGATAAAAAGTTAGACATGTAAATATTAAAAACCTGAAAAGATATTTTTTTAATTGTATAATTTTAAAAAAATCAAAAGAATACGCATAAAATCGCATGATTATCATATTAATTGATGCATTAAAAAAAAATACGCAGTTCAAGGCTGCATCTGTAGTTTACTATGAATAATGTATGCAGAATTATCCAATGTATTTTGTATTTTAAAAAATTGGAGCGTTTTTTATAAAATTATCGTTTTTAATGTTTAAATTTAATTCTAAACTATACCAAAAATACTAACATTTTCAAATAAATATAAATGGAATTAATTAAAAAGTAATCCGAGATAATAAATTTAATTTGAAGAAAAATCTTCATTGTCGTTGTAAGTGGACGCCAAAAAATTGAAATTTAAAAAATATTAGGAATAAAACAAAATGAGGCATGCGCATTCTTTATATGTTTTGTTCTATCCAATAAAAATAAATAATTTGAGGCAAAGTTTGAGCAAAACTTGAAAACGTTGACGATTCCTGTAAAGTAACCCCCAAATAAAAATATTTATTTGATATTTTAAGGGACCGCGGCATCATTAATATCATTCGAGGAATTTCAATTTTGGTGAAAATTCTGCCTTCTAGTAGCTAGTGTTGGTCAGAGACAGACGGACGTTTTGCCAAATACAATTTTTTCAGGATTAAGGAGTCAGAAAACGTGGATTTCGACTACACAATGTTTTAGAGATAGTAATTTATTACACGTATTGGAACAGGATTTATCCAATATCGATACGAAATTAGTATGCGAGAAAGTAAAAATAGTATATGTGATTTTACGAAATCTGTACAGATTTTAAAGATGCTATTCGCCAATGTGATAATTACTGAAAATATTAATTGAAATCTTAAGTGCACAAGATAAGTGGTAGATCTAAAACATTGTCGTATTACAGGGGATACTTTTCAATCCGAGGAAGTATGTTTCTTTTGTAGGAAACTTACAAACATCAAATATTATTTGTGGCGCAAGAAGGGCGCAGAAAGAATTCTCAAACCACACTGGCTCACATTTCACGAGTAGCCTCTACAAATCGCGGCATCATCCTCATTGACCAATTCCTTTCACTGTAAGTGCTACAAATTACCCTCATCGGCTACATCACCAAACAGAAACAAGTAATAATTTAAGCTAGTTCTTCATATTCATTTTGTAATAAGTGGCACACTTACAAAAGAGGTAGTCTTCTCGTGAGTTACATCACGCGTACCAGTCCTACGCTTGACAAGTATCGAAGTACAAAAAACGCTTTGGAGAGCAAGTGACCTTACGAGGAAGGCGAAGGTGAGAATGGGGCACACCCCGGCAAAAACCGTCGAGGCAGACAACGCCTCCGGGAACGTGGCGACATACATTCAAGGCCTACGTGCATTCATCAAGAAGCGGCGGGTCAGGAAGAAAGTAACTGTTGAATATGATTCTCTCTAATACATGCGCATACGTCGTACTTATGCCTGATGACAAGAACACAGACGTGGCAATCGCTAGGTTCGCCTGAACAATATTTGAGGAACATCTCGAAATGGTCCCAGTTGAAACCATACCCTACATTTGGAAGAAATAACACGATATGAACCATCCTCTTTATTTAATACGTATTCACTCACACCAAATATCAAATTGAATCGAAGGAATTTTAAAATCGACAATTTCATTTCCTTATAAATTTTTCTCAAGAAACTACGATCATCCATTCCAAAGCAAGAAGAAGTGACTTACTTAGAACTATGCAGTCGTTTCAACATGGTAAAGTCTCTGCCCGCATTTTTCAGACCGGTATTTCTAGAGTGTTTCCAGGTTAAGCAATTACTGTACAATTCAAGCACAGAGTCCGCTGGAACAGTTCAATGCGTCCAGAGGTATTGGCGTGAATGACTGAATTGTTGATTGAAGATGGTATTGATGAGAATGCTCTTTGGAAAGTGTAGGTGAATTTACAAAACCAGCTAGGGATTATTATTATTATTATTATTATTATTATTATTATTATTATTATTAATGATAATGAAATTATTTTTAGTTCTTCCTGTTGATCCTAGCTTAATGATTTAATAAATGGAAAGTTTTAAGCCAATTGGACCATAGAGAATCAATCTTATGTCAATAAATAAATAAATAAATAAATAAATAAATAAATAAATAAATAAATAAATAAATAAATAAAGTAATTAATTAATTATCTGTGCCGTGCGTTCAAAATGTCGAAACGTAGGCAGAGAAACTTCATAAATAAAAACTTCATAAACTTCATATAGTTGGGAAATC